GGAGTATGGGTTCGAGTCACTTCTGGGGTGTGAGTTTTCATTCGCATATAGTCCTGGGGACCATTCAGGCTTGTTCGCATTTGTGTTCCTCACGTGTGCCCCAAAGAATGAGGTGATTTGGTGAAATGCTATGCCCAAGATTACCATCCGAGTTGCCGTCGGGGAAGTGGCTCAAATAGCCTCGGCTATCACTTCCTTTGACGGCCGTGATGGTCAAGCGGATTAAGGCGCCCTGTAGTTACCAGTTGCGTTGCTTCTGGGAGTATGGGTTCGAGTCACTTCTGGGGTGTGAGTTTTCATTCGCATATAGTCCTGGGGACCATTCAGGCTTGTTCGCATTTGTGTTCCTCACGTGTGCCCCAAAGAATGAGGTGATTTGGTGAAATGCTATGCCCAAGATTACCATCCGAGTTGCCGTCGGGGAAGTGGCTCAAATAGCCTCGGCTATCACTTCCTTTGACGGCCGTGATGGTCAAGCGGATTAAGGCGCCCTGTAGTTACCAGTTGCGTTGCTTCTGGGAGTATGGGTTCGAGTCACTTCTGGGGTGTGAGTTTTCATTCGCATATAGTCCTGGGGACCATTCAGGCTTGTTCGCATTTGTGTTCCTCACGTGTGCCCCAAAGAATGAGGTGATTTGGTGAAATGCTATGCCCAAGATTACCATCCGAGTTGCCGTCGGGGAAGTGGCTCAAATAGCCTCGGCTATCACTTCCTTTGACGGCCGTGATGGTCAAGCGGATTAAGGCGCCCTGTAGTTGCCAGTTGCGTTGCTTCTGGGAGTATGGGTTCGAGTCACTTCTGGGGTGTGAGTTTTCATTCGCATATAGTCCTGGGGACCATTCAGGCTTGTTCGCATTTGTGTTCCTCACGTGTGCCCCAAAGAATGAGGTGATTTGGTGAAATGCTATGCCCAAGATTACCATCCGAGTTGCCGTCGGGGAAGTGGCTCAAATAGCCTCGGCTATCACTTCCTTTGACGGCCGTGATGGTCAAGCGGATTAAGGCGCCCTGTAGTTACCAGTTGCGTTGCTTCTGGGAGTATGGGTTCGAGTCACTTCTGGGGTGTGAGTTTTCATTCGCATATAGTCCTGGGGACCATTCAGGCTTGTTCGCATTTGTGTTCCTCACGTGTGCCCCAAAGAATGAGGTGATTTGGTGAAATGCTATGCCCAAGATTACCATCCGAGTTGCCGTCGGGGAAGTGGCTCAAATAGCCTCGGCTACCACTTCCTTTGACGGCCGTGATGGTCAAGCGGATTAAGGCGCCCTGTAGTTACCAGTTGCGTTGCTTCTGGGAGTATGGGTTCGAGTCACTTCTGGGGTGTGAGTTTTCATTCGCATATAGTCCTGGGGACCATTCAGGCTTGTTCGCATATATATATATATATATATATATATATATATATATATATATATATTATATATATATATATATATATATATTATTGTTTACAGTTTTCCTGCATGTGCTCTTATGTGCATTTACAACACTCATATATTATGAAACTGTCCTGATCCTCACTTATAATAACCCCACTGTGATCCTCACCTATAATAACTCCACCGTGATCCTCACTTATAATAACCCCACTGTGATCCTCTCCTATAATAACCCCACTGTGATCCTCACCTATAATAACCCCACCGTGATCCTCACCCATAATAACCCCACTGTGATCCTCACCTGTAGTAACTCCAGTGTAATCGTGAGGTGTTGTCTTACAGCCCAGCTGCAGCAGATCCGTCGGTCATCCTGGGCCAGGATCATGTGTGACAACTCTAACATTGGAGCCTCTCAGCCCCTCGCCTTCAGGCTGACGTCTCACCGACTGTAAGATTATTATTTCTCACTGCTGTCATCTAATTTATGTTTACGTAATGTTTGAGTGAAGGATTGTGATACTGATTTGGTTTGTGTGTGAGAGGTTGTGAAACTGGCTTGGTTTGTGTGTGAGAGGTTGTGCAACTGGCTTGGTTTGTGTGTGAGTGGTTGTGCAACTGGCTTGGTTTGTGTGTGAGAGGTTGTGCATCTGGCTTGGTTTGTGTGTGAGAGGTTGTGCATCTGGCTTGGTTTGTGTGTGTGAGTTTGTGACACTGGTATTGTTTGTGTGTGAGAGGTTGTGAAACTGGCTTGGTTTGTGTGTGAGAGGTTGTGAAACTGGCTTGGTTTGTGTGTGAGAGGCTGTGACACTGACGTGTTTGTGTGTGAGAGGTTGTGACACTGACGTGTTTGTGTGTGAGAGGTTGTGACACTGACGTGTTTGTGTGTGAGAGGTTGTAACACTGACGTGTTTGTGTGTGAGAGGTTGTGACACTGACGTGTTTGTGAGTGAGAGGTTGTGACACTGACGTGTTTGTGTGTGAGAGGTTGTGACACTGACGTGTTTGTGTGTGAGAGGTTGTAACACTGACGTGTTTGTGTGTGAGAGGTTGTAACACTGACGTGTTTGTGTGTGAGAGGTTGTGACACTGACGTGTTTGTGAGTGAGAGGTTGTGACACTGACGTGTTTGTGCGTGAGAGGTTGTGACACTAACTTGGCATGTGTTTGAGGGGTTGTGACACTGAGTTGCATTGTGTGTGAGACACTGGCTTGTGAGCTTGTGTTTGTGAGCTTTCAGGATAAAATAGGGAGGAAAATAGAGTGGGTTAGGGTAGGTGTTTGATATGGGTAGGGGGTTCAGAGCACGGTACTTCAGCAGGTGCACTGTGGGAAGTCTAACGTAGGTTATTGTCACTAATTCTGAAGAGCTTCGGGCTCAAGCAGGAGCCCTGTGGGACGCCTGATCGGTGTGAAGGTCTCGCCAGTTTTCTCATTGATGTGTTTAGTGTAATTTTCTGTTTCTCGCGAATTTAAATATAAGCCTGGTAAGTGTGTAAGTATGATCTTGTAGGTTTGTTAAGGTGTACATCAATCCTTGTGGCAACGGTTGTTGACACCTTCGTTCATATCCCTTGTGGTGATGAGTGACAATTGTTAGTTACTGATGCTACCAAGGAATAAGGTTCTGTTTCCTCCTTCCACTGTTGAACTGTCTCTAAATGTTTGTATAACTTATATTAAATGTTCTTGGAATTATGGCCCCTTCTCTTTAACTGGTTTTCCATGTGTTGCCGCCTGTTCTTTCGTCTTTATTATTATCCCTCTTTCTCGTCTTATTGCAGCATTGTTATCAAACTTCCTTCCTTCCCTACTCATCTTTTTTCTGGAAGTCTGTGTACTCACCTAGCTTGAGTTCTTGGGTCCTGCCTCTAACCTAATTGTCAGTCAACTGGAGTATTGGTGTATCAACAATTTGCATTCTTTCATACCTACATATGAATCATGTTCGGAGTCTACCATGTAATATTCAAATGAACAAATCCACAAGGACCGTGACGAGGGTTCGAACCTTCGTTCGAGAGGATCCCAGACGCTGCCTTAATCGACTGAGCTACGACATGGTAAAAGAATTGTAACCGGAAGTTCTACTGACCTTACTCGGATACTGCGGTCTCTCCGAGACACAAACTAGGATTTTACACAATTCCCCCATGCACCCGAGCTCTGTCAATAAGCTGTTCTACCTCTTCGCCCTTACTTCATTACACCAGCTAAAATCCAGCTGGTATCATCTCTTCCTTTTTGAATGGTATTTTCCTCATTATAACTCTTTACCTATTGTTTTCTACACGGCATTGGGATTGCACTTTTCTTCCATTAGTCCCGGTGCCCACCTTCCTCCTACTTGCCTTACTTGTAACTCCGTTATTGAGTCTCGTAACTTGGTCTTTGACACTCGCCTCCAGCTCTCTTATAACGATGTCGTCTCTCTCTCTCTCTCTCTCTCTCTCTCTCTCTCTCTCTCTCTCTCTCTCTCTCTCTCTCTCTCTCTCTCTCTCTCTCTCTCTCTCTCTCTCTCTCTCTCTCTCTCTCTCTCTCTCTCTCTCTCTCTCTCTCTCTCTCTCTCTCTCTCTCTCTCTCTCTCTCTCTCTCTCTCTCTCTCTCTCTCTCTCTCTCTCTCTCTCTCTCTCTCTCTCTCTCTCTCTCTCTCTCTCTCTCTCTCTCTCTCTCTCTCTCTCTCTCTCTCTCTCTCTCTCTCTCTCTCTCTCTCTCTCTCTCTCTCTCTCTCTCTCTCAACTCCAGTCAGCTCCGTGCCTCTGTGGTTCAACAGCGGCGGCCACGGCGTTCTTTATCAGATGCTTCGCCATCTCCCCCAAGGTGCCTTTCAGTATTTACTGATTACATACTGAAATATTTATCGTATTTGGGAGACGTCGTCTATCCCCCAAACACTGGCTTGCGGCAGTTGTTCTTCCTATTCAGTACCCTGGTAGTCTTGGGTCCTATCGTGAGGTCATCTTGAGATGATTTCGGGGCTTTTTAGTGTCCCCGCGGCCCGGTCCTCGACCAGGCCTCCACCCCCAGGAAGCAGCCCGTGGCAGCTGACTAACACCCAGGCACCTATTTTACTGCTAGGTAACAGGGGCATAGGGTGAAAGAAACCCTACCCATTGTTTCTCGCCGGCGCCTGGGATCGAACCCGGGACCACAGGATCACAAGTCCAGCGTGCTGTTCGCTCGGCCGACCGGCTCCCATCCTCCCTTAAGAATTTTCGTTCTATTGCCCTGACAAGTTGCGTCTGCAAGCTCTTGGAGCGTATGGTCAATGTCCCTCTCATGTGGTTCTTGGAACACTGTCGCATCTTCTTCCTCACTCAATTTAGCTTTCAGAAGTGTCGCGGTGCGACTGACATTTTAGTGTACTTGGATGTCTACATTCGTTCTGCCTTTGCTGTTAAGTCCTCCGTGGTTACTGTTCTTTTTGACTTAGAAAAGGCTTATGATACCACTTGGAGATATAATATTTTGTCCCCAGCATCATTCTTTTGGCCTTCGTGGTAATCTCCCGCTCTTCCTTTCTGGCTTATTTTCTCTGCCTCCTTTTCCCAATGTAAAGGTGTTCCCCTGGGTAGTGTGTTGAGCACTACTCTTTTCCTCATTGTCCTTAATGGTTTTACTTCCTCCCTTCCCTCAGGTGTTTTTTCAGCCATTTTTCCTCCAACGTCGGCTCTAACTTGCCATTGATGCCGTGTTGTCCTGGGCCACCAATCATGGCTTCAAGTTCTCTACATCTAAAACTTGTGATGTGACTTACTCGGAGGCAGGTCGTTCTTCGTTTCCCTTTGTCGCCCTATGGTAGTCCCTTTCTCTATGAGGATTCTGCTTAATTTTAAGGTTCATTTTTGTCTCGTATATGCGTAAGTCTCGTGCAGTCATCGGGAGGACAAGCCCTTCATGCAAACTGCACATACTATCAAGAAAAAGAAGTGTTGGTCCCCCCTATATCTCTTACCTCCTGGTCGAATGTTCTTAGACGCTGACGCTACTGCGTGTCTTGTCCAGTACCTCCTTGGGTGCTGATAGACGCACATTCCTCTCACGTTCTGTCTAAACTGGCTTATGGCTGCCCGCCCAACTCTCTGCCTCTCCTTCGGTTCTTCACGGTCTTGATGTTCTCCACCATGCTGGGTTGCACCTCAGTTCTAGTGCCTTTCGTTCATCCCCTATCCACAGCTTGTACATTGAAATGGACGTCTTGTCGCTCCAGGATCGTCCAGATCGTTTCGGCCTTCACAACCTCGCGAGGTCTCTGCAACATCCTCATTCTCACTTTTGCCGAGCTTTGGCTGTTGTCCCTCCGGCGGGCTCTGTTTCCTTCCACTTACTTTCTCTTTCTGTTCGGATGTCCCGTTTACAAGCTTCCCTTTCAGTTTGTGTTAACAATGTCTCTTCTTGTGTCGTTCCATCCTTCCCTCCTTGACGGGTCTCGCTTGTAAAATTATGCAAGTTTTTGACCCACGTTGCAGAGGCTTCTACTCTCCTGTTGTTCTGAAACGCCTTTGCCTTGAACATCTTTCTTTGCACTCTCATTCTGTTGTTTTCTTCATAAAAAAAAAGAAATTTGTTTCCTATTTCCTGAAAAGGTGTTCCTTATTCAGATTTCTTCCCAGTCATTCATTCCACAATCATTGCCCGTTGGCAGGATCGTTGGTCTTGTGTTACTGGTAACAAGCTGCGTGCTCTTTAGGATAGTGTGTGTGTGTGTGTGTGTGTGTGTGTGTGTGTGTGTGTGTGTGTGTGTGTGTGTGTGTGTGTGTGTGTAGATGTCAGTGTTGCCTTAATATTTTTCCGCAAATGTGTGTTATTGTCGTGGGATACAGAACACGCTAAGGAATAACATTCATTAATCAGTGCTACAACAAAATGTTACTAATGATACTACTAGCCGGTTACTTCGTGCCGATTCATTAACCTGCATTATTTTCTTGCAGTAACCAGCCAGTGCCTTGCAACAGCCCCATAATCCCGCGCCTCAACTTTGCCCCGTGGAGGGGCGAGAGGCCTGCTGCCTAGTTCATCTGATGGATCCTGTCGCTCATCTGATGGGTGCTGAAGCTCTCCTCAAGGGTTCTGGTATTATGAGGAGGGTCTTCTAGCGCTTCTGATGGGCCCCTTACTCTAGGCCCTCTGGTGCCACTTGTTTCTCATTGATCTTCAGTATTTTGTTCTACTCTGTGTACTTGTCGAGTAGTCTATGTTGTCTTGAATTAGTGTAAGTTTCAGTGTTATTGTGTCCATGTTTATACATATAATTCACAGATGCAGACATATATTCTTATGTAAATCAATATATATTCATGAGGTGATTTTTGGTGGTTTTCCACACGCACGCACGCACTCGCGCGCGCGCACACACACACACACACACACACACACACACACACACACACACACACACACACACACACACACACACACACACACACATGATAGGGAAATGGGACAGGAGTCATTGCTGTAAACAACCGATTGCTGGAAAGTCAATGCTCGATCCTGCAAGCACAAATAGGTGAGTACACACACACACACACACACACACACACACACACACACACACACACACACACACACACACACACACACACACACACACACACACTCACACACACACACACACACACACACACACACACACACACACACACACACACACACACACACACACACACACACACACAATCACACACACACACACACACACACACACAATCACACACACACACACACACACACACACACACACACACACACACACACACACACACACACACACACACACACATGCACAATCATATTATTGACAGGGAAAGGGCTTCCATAATACACAAGTTTTGTGTTAAAGTGAAAACTGTTTATAACATGCATGATGCCATCACTGCCTTGTCAGATAGGTCACGTGTCCCACCCTCACCATCAGGTCACTTGGTCATGTCACCTCAACGGTGTATAAATGTTCTTGTCTCCTTTGTCCATGTAGTATCTTCTGAAAATCATTTCAATAAATAAACATTTCTTCAATGTACATTTTCCTTTCAGTCTCCATTTAAATTTGTTCGTAGGATAATGTATACATATTCGCTATACAAACATTATGCGAGTGATATTTTGAAGGAAGAACCCCACTGAACTGTAAATCCATCCTTCTGAAGATGTATTATTAAATACGAAAGTACTTAAGGAAATTTCCTGTTTCATTTTCCTCTGTGGTCTGACATTGTCATATATATATATATATATATATATATATATATATATATATATATATATATATATATATATATATATATATATATATAATAAAACATTGATCTTCAGTGTGCAGAATGACCACAGTGAAAATAAAAATAAAATAACAGCTGAAGTGTATTTTGATACTATTTATCCTACCTATTTATCCTACCTATTTATCCTACCTATTCCCATATATACACAAATGTGTTGTCTCTTTCTTTCCTGTATTATGTTTCCCCACGCTTCAGTTCCTGCCTCACTTCCCTCTTCCCTTGTCATGGCTCATGTTGGCGCCGGTGGTCTCCTCTGAGGGCTGTGCACTTCAGTGCTTCAGTGTCCACGCTCCTCTTGCCCTGCTCCACGTGCTGCGCTTGCTTCTCTTAGTTCAGCTGCTGATGAAGGCGTGGAAGCAAGCTGAAAGCGCCTTAGCTGTTATTTTTTTTTTCAATTATATGATTGATAATTACACATATGTGTGATTAAGGTGGTGGTAATCAAAAAAAAGTTAAAATTTAATTGGGGTTTAAGATACACTAATCTCCCTAGTTAGGGAGCCGGTGGCTGAGCGGACAGAACACCGGGCGCGTGATCATGTGATCCCGGGTTCGATCCCGGGCGCCGGCGAGAAACAATAGGCAGAGTTTCTTTCACCCTGATGCCCCTGTTACCAAGCAGTAAATAGGTACTTGGGAGTTAGTCAGCTGTCACGGGCTTCTTCGTGGGGGTGGAGGTCTGGTCGAGGACCGGGCCGCGAGGACACTAAACCCCGAAATCATCTCACGATAATGTCAAGAACCACTAGCGGGTTGCTAAACTAGAGCCAAACTACCTCTACAGCACTAGCAGGATACTACAAGAGACCGCAAACTTTCTCTGCAAAAATAACATGTATTAGCATTATCTGGAGAACTGACGTTGGGAACTAACCTGCATCAAACGTTATGTTGACAATTGCATATTAATTTATAAGTATTATAAATTTATTTATAATACTTATTTATAAATACTCCAGTATTTATTTATACAAAATTCTGGTTATCTTTTTTAACAACAATAATGATTGACATAATTGGAGACATTTTCTTTTCCGCTTTCAATATATATATGAAAAACCACAAAGATTTTGTTTCAGTTTCTTAACACATGATGAAGAAGATGGTGCTGAGGTCAGTCTCAGACTTGAGGGTGGTGTTGAGGTCAGTCTCAGACTTGAGGGTGGTGTTGAGGTCACTCTCAGACTTGAGGGTGGTGTTGAGGTCACTCTCAGACTTGAGGGTGGTGTTGAGGTCACTCTCAGACTTGAGGGTGGTGTTGAGGTCACTCTCAGACTTGAGGGTGGTGCTGAGGTCAGTCTCAGACTTGAGGGTGGTGTTGAGGTCAGTCTCAGACTTGAGGGTGGTGTTGAGGTCACTCTCAGACTTGAGGGTGGTGTTGAGGTCAGTCTCAGACTTGAGGGTGGTGTTGAGGTCACTCTCAGACTTGAGGGTGGTGCTGAGGTCACTCTCAGACTTGAGGGTGGTGTTGAGGTCACTCTCAGACTTGAGGGTGGTGTTGAGGTCACTCTCAGACTTGAGGGTGGTGTTGAGGTCACTCTCAGACTTGAGGGTGGTGTTGAGGTCACTCTCAGACTTTAAGGTTGTGTTGAAGTCAGTCTCAGACTTGAGGGTGGTGTTGAGGTCACTCTCAGACTTTAAGGTTGTGTTGAGGTCACTCTCAGACTTTAAGGTTGTGTTGAAGTCAGTCTCAGACTTGAGGGTGGTGTTGAGGTCACTCTCAGACTTTAAGGTTGTGTTGAGGTCAGTCTCAGACTTGAGGGTCGTGTTGAGGTCACTCTCAGACTTGAGGGTTGTGCCGAGGTCAGTCTCAGACTTAGTTAACGTTATGTTATTGCAGCAAATCACTGTTCAGTATCGTAGAACTCTCGGTACCCAAGTGCTGCAGGTATTGTAGAAAGACTGACAAACATTGGCTCTTGCTCCCATAGAATTACTGACAGGCAACTGTACCGGGTCTTGTAGAACTTGATAAGAAATGCGCTTTTAAACCATATGAACAACTATTGCAAATGAGAGATCTGTTACGCCCCAGACGTAATGAGGCGCCTGGAGCACCCAGTTAGTCGAAAGATTGTCATTAGGTGGCTAGTAACTGGATGGGTGACCGTGTCGAAAGATGTTAGGCTGTTAGGTCCTGGCTGTTAGGACCTTGATAAGCCTAACCCGTTACATATTCCTGACAATGGGCAACAACTTTGTTCCTCACCCAACATTGTCATCACTATACACGACCCGTCATCCATATATAATCAATTATATAGACCATACTGCATGCCCACCCCCAACAGAGGTATTATAGACCATCTGCACTAATTACTCCACCATAGATTAGCTGTACCGTGTTCAGTGCTCACTCTACTTAGGGTATTATAGACCGTGCTCAATGCCCACCATAGGTTTTATAGACCGTGCTCGATACCCATCATAAGTATTATAGACCGTGCTCAATACCCATGATAAGTATTATAGACCATGCTTAATACCCACCATAGGTATTATAGACCGTGCTCAATGCCCACCATAGGTATTATAGACCGTGCTCAATATTCGAGAGGACGGGCTGTCACCCGTGCTCACCACCCATCATAGGCTGATATAGACTTCAGGAACATATACGTCGTCCATCACTAAATGCCGTAAAAGGCTTATCACCTCTCTGTCAGTCAGTTTGAGAACAGTCTGCAGACTTTCACATGATGATTCACAGCGCCCTAAACGCTGCGCGTACTAGTGGCTTTACAAGATTATAAATACCATGCTATGTACCCTAACAAACCGCATGTACCTTCTAGTATATAAATAAATATATAAATAAATGATGACCTAAACTAAATAATTTGGTTACCCCTCTTTTTATTGTTGAAAACGAAAAGTATCTACAAGTCATGGTTAGAGGGGGGTCTTAATCAAATAAAGTCAAAAATAAATGTTCCAGATAAGATAACGAGAATATCAAGATATATTTCCAGGAGAGTTAGCAAGCAATGGGACATGGAAGGTATATGAGAACATGAGCATTAGGGTGGTTGTTGCGAAAATGTTATTGCATGAGTGTTATGCTCGATGGGAATGTTGTTATTGTAAAACTCTTTGTAGAGGGCAGTGTATTACAGAGACAAGGCGGGCAGTAGTTCGCGTGTTGTTTGGCCCTCGGACTGCTATTTACGACATTTGGCGGGAATTTAAACCACCAATCAGCGCCACCGATACCACGTGACCGAGAAAAGGTCAACTTGGGTCATGAAGGCAGGGGTCAGTCTGGCTTCTCAGTGCATAGCGCGATGTGCTCCTGCAACACTTCACCTCACCTTACCTTCAACATAACCCCACCAAGCTTACCATGATCGCGTCTGCCAATCACGGAAAATATTCGACCCTTCGAGGAAGTCTTGCTGAATATCGCTGCGCAAGATATGACAGTTATTCAGTATTTAGGTAAGATTTTTCGCTGTGCAAGATAGCCCTACCGTATGGTCGACAGTTATTGTGTTATAACTGATTGTAATGGGCAGGAGCCTACTTGTAATGACGTCACAATCAGAGGCAGACTAGCCTTACGTAATCCACATACAATCCATTAATATTACAGATAGTTTCAATTTACACAAATTTTTTACTGTTACTGCTAAGGAAAATTGAAAGTAATTGCCCATAACTAGAGTTGGAAATACGCGCATATTATAAGGAAATACGCGCATATTATAAGGAAATACGCGCATATTATAAGGAAATACGCGCATATTATAAGGAAATACACGCATAATATAAGGATATATGACCAAAAAGTGGAAACTAACATTTACCAATTATTACCCAAATCCTCGTATATGTTCTTTAACATCACATACAGTAGAAATATTTTCCAACAGTGCTGTTTCTAATGAAAATTTTCATTACCAGTAACACAGTAAACAAATACTTGAACTGTAACGGGATTATGGGCAAAATAATTGGCCTCCGATTGTGCTGTCAACATGTTAGGCTTCGTCTCGGGGGAGGCTCCGGTGTACCCCATGCTCTTGGGTACATCTAATGGAGGTTTAGTCCAGGCCATTGTTCTGGACTAAACTTTATATGCTGGCTAGTCAGTAAGGTATTGAAACAGCCATAGTAACGCTGTAGAGGGCTTTTAATACTCGA